ATATTAAATACCCATAATCCCTTTATTAATTAATTACTTAAATACGCACATAAAAAATAATAATTACAAGCATGACCATCGAGAAGAAGATGACAAATATAAATACTAATAAATTTGTTCAATTTTGATTTATTCGCTGGCGACAGGCTGTCGCCAACAACGCCCCACGAGAAGACTAGTACTCTACACCTTACACTGTTTCCTCTTTTCTCTCTCTCTCTCTCTCTAATAAAATTTCTCTTCGTTTCTCCTGGATTCAATTATCTGTTGAGGGTTTTCTTTTTTGGCTTTTTCTAGTGATTTTCAGATTTCGCCTTTCAGTTTACCGGATCGTTGATGTGCAACTCGTAAGCTTTCTTTTGATATAAGTTTCCTTCTTTTGGCTTTGAATTTTTTTTTCCTAATTTGAGTTATTTTTAGTGTTGCATTGTGGTATCAATGTGCCGATTTTGTGGCGCCGTCTTCATGTGAAGGTTTTGTCTTGTCAGTTTCGGTGAATGACTGTTATGAATGTTAGGTTTTTGAATTTCTACGTTGTTTTTTCGACTTCTATTACACCAGATTTAAGTTCTAGATTTTGCCTGTTAATCAATGTATTGTGGCACCAATTCTCTGAGCACCTACACGCGTGCAAATGCTGTGAAATTAGGCTTAAATAGCATAAGAAAGAAAAGAAAATGTTATGTATAGATACCAGCGTGCTCACGTTAAATATTCTCTGGGTTGTTTTAAGTGTTAAGCGCCTCTATATTGATTTACATGATATCCACACAGTAAGTGATGGACATTGGTTTAAGTGAATTTAAGATATTACTCTATTAGAACGGTTGATTCTCAGTATTGAAATTGTTTAGATATCTATAGCTGATGAATTTATTGTAATTTCTATTACTGCATTTATGGATTAGTGAATCGCTTGTTTATTTGAGACAGGCATCATGCAACACTGCAAGCAGAGTGTTGGAATAATTTTAAGAAGTGCAAGATTTGCCACATGAATACGGTGCACATAATTGTTGTTTCGGATATCTGAATGCATTTTGGTTTGGCTGTGCCTAGATTATGATGTAAAGAAATGATGTCACTAAACTCAAGGATAATGCTGTTATTTGTAAATTTTTACCGTGATAGTGCCATTAATAGGTAAGCCGACAATTTGAACTTGACAATTTCCAACTGGGTGATTCTCCCAGCTTACCTTTCCTGACTTTTATATGTTACTTTACATCATGGAAAATTCTAATCTGCTAAATTAAGGTTGTGAAGTAATTTTGAATATTGATAGATGTGTAATTGACAAAAATGACAATTGTGA